ATCCAAATCGTCAAGGAAGAAGTCAAACTTTCACTCTTTGCAGATGACATGATATTCTACATGGAAAACCTCAAAGACTCCACCAAAAAACTGCTAGAACTGATACATGAATTCAGCAAAGTCGCAGGTTATAAAATCAACGTACAGAAATTGGTTGCATTTCTATACACCAATAATGAAACAGCAGAAAGAGAAATCAAGGAATCAACCCAATTTACAACTGCACCAAAAACCATAAAATACCTAGGAGTGAAAACTATACAAAGCTTATGAAAGAAACTGAAGAAGATACAAAGAAATGGAAAAACATTCCATGCTCATGGACTGGAAGTACAAATACTGTTAAGATGTCTATAGTACCCAAAGCAATCTACACATTTGGTGCATTCCCTATCAAAATAACACCATCATTCTTCACAGAGTTAGAACAAACAATTATAAATTTGTATGGAACCAGAAAACGCAAAATAGCCAAAGTAATGTTGAAAAAGAAAACCAAAGCTGGAGGCATCCCAATTCTGAACTTCAAGCCATATTACAAAACTATAATCATCAAGACAGAAAGGTATTGGAACAAAAACAGACACATAGATCAATGGAATAGAACAGAGAACCCAGGAATGGACCCACAAATGTATGGCCAACTAATCTTTGACAAAGCAGAGAAGAACATCCAATGGAAAAAAGACAGTCACTTCAGCAAATGGTGTTGGGAAAACTGGACAGAGACATGTAGAAGAATGAATATGGACCACTTTCTTATACCATAAACAAAAATAAACTCAAAATGGATGAAAGACCAAAATGTGAGACAGGAAACCATCAAAATCCTTCAGGAGAAAACAGGCAGCAACCTCTTTGACCTTAGCCACAGCAACTTCTTACTAGACATGTCTCTGGAGGCAAGGAAAACAAAAGCAAAAATGAACTATTGGGACCTCATCAAAACAAAAAGCTTCTGCACAGCATAAAATACAATCAACAAAACTAAAAGAAAACTAATATGCAAATGACATATTGGATAAAGGGTTAGTATCCAAAATCTATAAAGAACTTCTCAAACTCAACATCTAAAAAACAAATAATCCAGTGAAGAAATGGGCAAAAAAATGAACAACTACTTCTCCAAAGAAGACTTCCACCGGGCAAACAGACACATGAAAAGATGCTTAACATCACTCTTTATCAGGGAAATACAAATCAAAACCACAATGAGATACCACCTCACACCTGTCAGAATGGTTAAATGAACAACTCAGGAAACAAAGATGTCAGCAAGGATGTAGAGAAAGGGGAACGCTTTTGTACTGTTGGTGGGAATTGGTGCAAATTGGTGCAGTCACCCTAGAAAACAGTATGGGAGTTCCTCAAAAAATTAAAAACAGAGCTATTCTATGACCCAGCAATTTTGCTAGTAGGTATTTTTCCAGAGGATACAAAATTGCTGATTTGAAGGGGCACATGCACCCCAATATTTATAGCAGCACTATTAACAATAGTCAAATTATGGAAAGAGCCCAAATGTCCATTGACTGATGAATGGAATAAAATGTGGTATATGGGGCACCTGGGTGGCTCAGTCGGTTGGGCGTCCAACTTTGACTCAGGTCATGATCTCACAGTTCGTGGGTTCAAGCCCCGCATCAGGCTCTGTGCTGACAGCTTGTAGTCTGCTTCAAATTCTGTGTCTCCCTCTCTCTCTCTCTCTGCCCCTCCCCAGCTTGCTCTCTCTCTCAAAAAATAAATTAAAAAAACAATTTAAAAATTAAAAAAAAAAAAGATGTGGTATATGGTGATCCAAAAGAATGAAATCTTGCCATTTGTGACAATGTGGAACTATAGTGTATTATGCTAAGGGAAATAAGTCAGTCAGAGAAAGACAAATATCCTATGATTTCACTCACATGTGGAATTTAAAGAAACAAAACAGATAAACATAGGGCAAAGGAAGGAAAAATAAGATAAAAACAGAGAGGGAGGCAAACCATAAGAGACTTACATACAGAGAACAAACTGAAAGTTGTTGGAGGGATGATGGGTTGGGGAATGGATTAAATGGGTGATGGGTATTGAGGAGGGCACTTGTTGGGATGAGCACTGGGTGTTATATGTGAGAGATGAATCACTAAATTCTACTCCTGAAACCATTATTACACTACACGTTAACTAACTTGGATTTAAATACAATTAAAAAAAAAAACAAAATATTTTCGAATTTGGCCCCCTACAAGTTTTGGGCAGAATTAAAGCCCTATTTGGGAAACCATGTATTTATTTGTCACAGGAAGAAGAGACATTCCACACAGAGGTATACTGAGGAAAAGGATGCCTGGGCCTGGTTTAGAGGAAATGGAACATAGGTGTGGACCATTGTAGTAGCTGGTAGGCAAAGTGGCAGAATGCAAAAAAGGGAGTCTCAAAAATCATGATGAGCACAGTGGCCAATCAAAATGATATCTTGAAAGAGTATTTGGGTGGTAGTCATGTGAATTCTGGACAGATGATAAAGGTTGGATCATTTGTGTTCTTTTGAGACGCTAGTGAGTCAAAGGTAAAAATACATATAAAATAATTAGAAATATAGAGTTGGACCTCAGGAAGACTAAGGATTAAAATTGGAAGATTTAGAGTTGAAAGGTAAAAGTGACAGTGGTTAAGTTACCAAGAAAGCAAATGTAAAGAAGATGAGTTAAAGGAAGAAAAGACAATGAAATAGAGGAGTAGCCAAAAAGGAAGAAGAAAGATAGTGGTAATAATTTAACAGAAGCTGAAGAGAATACTTTCAAAAGTGAGTGATGACGTCAAATACTCTAAAGAAGTCATGGAGTAGTACGAGTGAAAAAGTAAGTAAACATGGTGATAAATAAAGACAAATATCTTTTAAAGTGCCAGTGTCTGTTGGTACAGTGGGATGAGTTAAAAGGTAGAGAAATGAATCATAAATACGCTAGTTAACACTTCTTACAAATATTCCTGGTAAGAGGAAGACAAAAAATAAGGATAGTAAGCAGTAGGGACAAATTTCCATCCAAAAAAAAAAAAAAAAAAAAAGTACCTGAAAATGTTTATAAGCAAAAGAAATCTGGGGGAGAGAAGAGATGAAGTTGCAAGTTAACTGAACAAGACTGTGGAAGAACTAGAAGTCTGGAGAAGTGGAACATATCTGATTTCTGAGATCAATGACTAGATAAAAGTAACAAGAAAAAAATTTGAGGTTTTTAAAGATTAGTTAAAAGGATGACTTCCAACTGAGTACTTACTAGTAGACCAGGTTAAGAACTAAAAGACTAAAATAAAATCTTTAGAATACATAAAAAGTTTAAATAAACATTGTAGATAAAAATAAAGAAGTATTGAAAGAGAGAGAGACATGGGGCACCTGAGTGGCTCACTCGGTTGAGCATCCGACTTCAGCTCAGGTCATGATCTCGTGGTTCGTGAGTTCAAGCCCCACATTGGGCTCTGTGCTGACAGCTCAGAGCCTGGAGCCTGCTTCGGATTTTGTGTCTCCCTCTCTCTCTGCCCTTCCCAATCTCTCTCTCTATCAAAGATAAATAAACATTAAAAATTTAACAAAGGAAGGAAGGAAGGAAGGAAGGAAGGAAAGAAGGAAGGAAGGAAGGACGAAAGAAAGAAAGAAAGAAAAATTTAAAATAAAAATATAGGACCCAAAGTTAAAGACTACAAAGTCAAACTTGATTGAATCAAATGCTGGTGAGTAGTCCAGAACTCAGCATAAACTTCAGGAGAGTAAGATGTCCGAGTCTCATGTTGGCCTTTATGACAAGTGAGATGACTAAAAATGTAAAGGATTTTAAAACAAAAACAAAGCAGCAATCAAAACAGATGACCCTGCAAGTGAAATGGACTATAAAGTTAAATAGGTGCTGTTAGAATGAAAAAACGAGTCAAAGCTCCTTAAAGTCACAGGGTAACGGGAACTGGAAAGAAATGAACAGTGGCTATGATGAATGATGTAAGAAAGGGGGTACAAGAACTTAAAAGCTGATGTGAAGCACTGGCCATGAAGAAGTCCAGGTCCCACGAGGTCAAGCTAATTAATCATCAAAGGGGGGTGGGGGGGGGGAGTGGGAGACAGGTGCTAAAACCATCAAGAAAGGTGGATGAATCCTTGAAAAGAGTGGCTGATAAATGACCAGAAAGTAACATAGAGGACATTTTATGATTTGTAAGAAAATCACATTTATTAGTTATACTTCAATTCTAACTTAAAAAAAAAAAATGGAACAACTTCACTTTGAATAATCAAGCTAACTGCTCTATATCAAAACAACTTTTGACTATTCTTAAAAAAAATAGAAATCCATCCTAAGGGATGCCCCTATTAATGAGACAAAAATGAAAGCAATGTGAGCTGTGAATACTTTCTCTGCACAGAGTAAATATTGGGTACTCAAAAGCCTAAGTTGAATGAATCAATAAAAAGGAGTTCCAACAGTGGCCTTGTGACTGGAATAACGTCTCATTTCACAAAATGAATACAAGAAGATGGTTGATGGATAGATGTACTGCTAAGACAATGGATTACAGACAAGGAGAGAGAGAGAAATAAGACTCAATAAGGCTCCTAACATCACCCTGGAGTCTCTCAAAGTGATTGCTTTAAAAAGAATAATATTCATGAGAGTACATGTTTTGTAAATTTGTTTGGTAAATACATTTAAAACATTTGACCTTTTATATTTGAAAGTGACCATTTTTAAAAATTCTATAGGAAAAAAAAATACCCATAGAGAAATCATTTCCCTAACAAACCTATCCTTATTTCATTAGTCTATCCATTCATAAAAATTTTAGTTCCAGTAATTTTGAGTTACTATGCTGGGAAAATAGTATATGAGGCATTATCCTAAAAGATCCCTATTGCTAGATGTTTAGGTTCGAAGAGAAAAATTGGCTTCTAAAAGGATAATTGTTTTACAGTGAACTTGCTGAACTATAATTGTAATTGGTAATTACAGATGTTTAACTCATCTTACCTCATCATATGATTTACATAGGCTTTGCTACAGCTAGTGTTGTATCTGCAAAAACTACAATGGACATACGTAGGAAAGTGGTTTGCAAAATCTTTTATTTCGGAACAACACTCAATGCACTTGTGAACTCCCCGACGATACCTTATGGAGATATAAAGAAAATGATATATATTTTAAAATAAAAATAATAAGGGAGGGCCTTATTAATATTCTGTTAATAGAGGCCAGTGTGTTTAAATTAACGTGTAAACAGAGAGTTGTAATTTGAAGAATTTGTTATGGAACAACAGCTGTAATTAGTGTAAGCAATTTAACATAAGTCAATATTTTTCACTGGCATAAAAGGGATCAAATTAAGCAATACAAACATCACAAGATATAAGCACAACATATAATACCAGTATAATAAGTGAATATTATAAAAAAAAATAGTAATTCAAGTACTGTTCAATAGTTGTAAAAAAATACCTTTTTATTATTTTCTTGGCCTTTATGTCATAGTGATAGCATATAAATGTATAAGAGATATGTGTAATAAGGTAAATTTATATTAAAGTTTTTATACTTAAGATTAAATTAGAACTATATATGAGGAATAAAAGATTACCTTAAGTTCCTCAATGCTGTATTGACTTTACTTTTTTTATTGCTACTAGCCAATGTGCTTTGTTTCTTTTGTATATTAGAGATTTTTGATTTATATTTAGATTTACTTCCATTAGGCTTACTTGCATTAGGTTTACTTGTATTGGGTTTAGTTGTATTAGGTTTGGTTGTGTTAGATTTTGTGGGAATTTTAGCAGTTATATTTTTAGTCCTTGGAGGTGAGAGCTGAAGAGTAGAAGTGCTTGCACTAATGGAAGATGTAGTTGAAGATCCTGACTGAAGAGGTCCAACTGAAGCTCGAATAGTAACCTACAAAAATGGAGATAATATTTGCTTTAGAAAATTAATCATGGCATTAACATTAAAATATCACTGTGTAATAAAAAGTTAAACATCAAGTATTTGGAAAGGGCAAGTATAAACTAAAATTAGATTAAGTCCTCCATTTATTCTAGATTTTCATACCAATTAAATTAAACTTGATATTCATTCACTTGCAGTACTACATTTTTTTGTATTGATATCAGTTATGTTAACAGTTATTAATGCATAATTAGGAGTTAATGCAAATTATAAGACTATTAAAAAAGAACACATTACATAGCTATTTTTATGCTCTCCTATAACTAAAATAATTCATAAACATAGACATCAAAATTTAAATCTCAAAGTCTGAAAAATAATTCTAGAAAGGCCTGTATTATCCCTTAACAACTATACAACAAACAGATCTACAGTAAACATGACCTCCTCTTTTCAGGGGCTCATTAGCAGGATTTATGTATACAATGGTTAGGGAGATGTTACATTAATTCATTATACCATATGGAAAGTTTAATTATATTTAGAATTTCCTTAAAGGAAACTAATATAAAGCTTATCACTTAGTATCCAGAAATTATATTTGTTGACTGACAATGAAAAACAATTGCCTACCAACATTCTTGTTAATCATTTGACTACACTTCTCCCATGTATTGGAGGAAGTCCTATGAGATACATGTATTTTGGTATCACACAAAAGCACTGGACTAGGAATCAAAAGACCTGAGGTTAAATTTCATACCATGCCTTCCTAGCCATGTGACCTTAAGTAAGTAATTTATCCTCTTCTTTATCTATAATATAGGGCAATAACTACCTTGTCTTCCTCACTGGATTGCTGTATGGATTAAATAACAATGTATGAAAAAGCATATCGAAAGCCTAATTCTAAGGTGCTATAAAAACATTTAGTATCATTATTAATATTATTACTATTATTATTAATAAGGGAAAATATGAGAGAGGACTGCACTGCTTACATTAGTGTTCTGCATGTCTAGTCCCAGCATGGAATGAATGGATTGTAGGGATGCTGGATAGCTTCTCTTGCTCTAGGTCTTCAGAGCATGGCTTTATATTGTTTTAGTTAATTCAAATAACAGACATACCCACATTCAAAGGTAAGTACCCAAAGCCAAATATAAATGTTTTGGGGATTATTTCACTTTGGATTATCCATGCCTCTGTTTCCCTCCACTGGAGCAAATATTCAAGAGCTGACTGTATATAAAGAAGTCAGAGAAAACAGAGGTATATAAGGCAAAAAGGGAAAAGTAAATTACAATCATCAGTATGCAGTCAGACATGTTGTTTGCTCATTTAAAACATAATGCTATCCAGCAGCAGAACTTGCTTCTCTGAGGAGACTCAGTAACAACAACTTCAATAAACATCTGAGAACCTATGGCATTCGATGCACTATGCCAGATGCTGAGGACACAAAGATAAAACATGACTCCCGATCTCAAGCATCTTATAGTTAAGCAGATAAAAGTGAAATATACACTGCCAACTGGAATAGCTCAGAAATAGCCTATATGATATTGACACAACCCACTGACCCGGGGAACAGTTAATCTAGTTGCATTTATTAAAAAGGAATATCACTCTAGCACAGCACACACCACTGACCATAAAACAATGGTCAGAAGGTTTCTTTTCTAGATATAAGAATGATAAAACTTAAAGTCTTAACAAAAATCAGAAATCATTTTTAAGTATTACATTCAATAGGTAAAAGGAGGCAGGAGTTAATTTCTATTATCATACAAAATGTTAAAAATACAACACATTTAAACTCACTTTTGTTCCAGGAGGCAATCCTTCTAGTTGTTTAGGTTTTATAAATGTTCTATGATGCTGAGTCTTGTGATCCATTTTCTCTTTGCATGTCAAAAACTGCAGTCTGCATTTTGTACAACGATGTATTCCTTTTTTCTGTTTAAAAAAAAAAAAACAGAAAAAGGGAGGAAAAATAATTTTTACAACCACAAATGCTATGTCCTGAAACTGCTCTGATTCAATTTTAATGATACCTAAATAATTCTAAAAGTAGTATTTTACATCTCCCATATAAACAGCAAAATTTTATTTCATTTTTAAAAGCACTTTGTATTAGTATTTATGTTCCAAAAATGTCTATTACTATATAGACATTGAACATAAAAGATCTATCAGTAGGTTCTAATGAAAGTTCTCTCAATAGTGGTGTGAAAGCTCTTCTAATTACAATTTTAAAGTATTTAGATACATGATATGGTTAAAATGAGCCATACTATATTTTTACCTTAGAAAAAGGTAAATTCTTTTTAATTTTTGCTATTTCCAGTTGGTTGACAAGTTGGCAAAATAAAGTCAAATACTTAACCAGACATTTCAAAGAAGGTCACTATAGAAATGGTTATATAAAGCAGTCTAATATAACTTTCTGCACTGATGAGAATGTTGTATAGCTACACTGACCAGGATGGTAGCCACTACAACATATGGTTATCGAGCACCTGAAATGTGCCAAGTGCAACTGAATTTTTAATTTCATCTAATTAATTTTAGCTTGAATAGCCACATTGACATTGCACAGTATTGATGCAGAGGCATAAATCAGAACTACTACTCTCCATCTACTTACTGATTGAGATCTCTTGAGTAAGTCCCTCTTGAAACTCAATCCTGTTACTATTCTACAGCTGGAAAACAGGACCCAAAAAAATCTAAATCACTTTCCCATAACTAGTTACTGACATTGCCAGACTGCTGATCCAGTGTTCTTTCTGCTATATATCAACTACAATCTTAACTATATGCTCTCATTAATTTAGAAATGATACGTGTGTGTGTATATATACACAAACTTTAATAATACATAAATATAAAAGAATGTTTTCTCAAAACTATAATCTGCCAGATATATCACTATTTCCATTTTAATACACTCACTCATTTATAAAATTCAAACAAGGTAATATACTAAGAAGTACCTGGCACAATTACTAGCACACAGCAGGGATTTCCTAAATCAAAGCTCTTTACAAAATTCAAAGTAATGTATAAATATAATGTGTTTGTATTACTATTCTAGCTGCTTCTTAAGACTATTTTAGAAATGTGGTGAATTGGATTATATCATAGATACAGGCAATTTTTGAAAATTCATTTATATGTGCTGAAGGAAGAGGAGGAGGAAAAAGAGAAAACTTAGCCAAGAAACAGATAACCAAGACAAAAGGACAGAAAGTTACTTCTCCAGAATCCAATTCCCAGAAATCTTTTCCCTATCTGTAATCACTGCCCAGGTTACCTCATCCACTTTCAAGGCTTTAAATACTACCTATCTGGCTGTCTATTAGACACCACTACCTGATAGCTAATATGTATCTCAAATCAACATGGACAAAGTTGAATTCTGGATTTTTCTTCCTAACTCCTTGCCCCCCCCCCCAAACATCTGTTCTTTTCTCACTCTTTCCCCTATGATAGTGTATGAAAATTATACCCTTATAGCTGGTTAGGACAAAAAATCAGTAACTCACTCACACATCTTATAAATAACACACTAATAAAACCTGTCAGCTCTACCTTCAAAACCTTTCATAATCTTTCCACCCCTCATTACCTCTAACCATTGCTACCAAACCACTCACCTGGACTACTATAATAATCTCCTACCTTCCTGTCATGTTCTTTCCTCCGTATGGTCTATTCTCCCCCTAGCTGCTAATGATCTTAAAACATGGTAGATCTTTCTTCACATGCTAAAATGCTCCCATGGCTTTCCCAAGTCCTACTTCTGGTTTACAAGGCTCTACATAAACTAGCCTGCATTCTACTGTTACGCTCTTACCTCTTACTTCTCTTCCTCTTTTTAGTTTGCTTTAGCAACAACTGTCCTCTGATGTTTTTTGAGTGTCCCATGTATGCATTCACTTCACTGTATGTTTCCTCTCCCAGACTTCTACGTGGCTTATTCTTTTATTTCCTTCAGAGAGGCTCGCGTTTTACCACAATATATACATAACAGCAACCATTCCTCCACTCCCAACACCTCTCTGGCACTCTCCATCTTCCACATTTTCCTTCCACAGTACTATCACCAGCTAGCATGCATATACATTCAAACATAAACACACATATATTTATCTTTCTCCACTATAATTCAAATTCCAGAGAGCTTAGACTTTGTTTTCTTCACTGCTATATAATAACCAAAACAGCTCCTGGCACATAGTAAGGCACTCAGTAAATATTTGTTAAGTAAATGGATAGTGAGGCGGAAAGCAAGAGAGATTCTGACTATATGTTATTTCTACCCTTAGATCTAATGCCAATGTGAAATCTGGCTCTGTGATAAAGTAGTAAAAGCCTGGGCTCTGAAGTCAAATTTTAATTCTGCTTTTTATTAGGTAATAAGGCATTGAGCAAGTTACTTTCTCTAAAACTTTGTTTCCTCATCTATAAGTTAGAAATAATAATATACATATGTGATTGTGAGGATTAAATGTGATAATGTTTGTAAAGCACCTGCTGCTGCCATAAGGTAAGTGATGGCATGTGGCATATGTTAACTGCTTAACATTTTTATTAAAGATCTAATGAGCATATTTAACACATCCAAAATCACTTATATTATTTCTTAAAAGTCATACAAACTGGATTCTTAGCTCTAAAATCCCGAGACTTAATAAAAAAACTACTTAAAAAAAAGTCACAACCAAAGTCTTCGAAGACAATAAAATGAGCCAGAGTCAACAAAGGAAAGGAAAAGCATGTGGGGAAAATTATGTTAAAACTCCCATAATGAAATAGCACTACTGTTTTATATCTCATTCTCCCATTCAAAATTAAAGGCCAAAGGCGAAATAAAGAGTACCAAAAATGGTGTTTCCAAAATTCTATTCTTCAAAAAAATGTTAATAGGTATTATGCAAATAAAGGGGTTAGTGGCCAAAAAAGTTTGGGGACTAATGCATACTATACCCCTTGCTTGGAAATTCACAAAGTTCACTGGCATATAAAAATTTCTGAGAAGTCCTATTTTAAAAAACAGACAACCAAACTGTTTAATGTTGTAAATCTGGGCATTTACCAAATTTATTTACCAGTAACAATTTGGGGGGAAACATCTATTAACACCTGCCGGAACACTGTTGAGGAAACCTAGAATAGAAAGATCTTGCCAAAACTTCTCCAAGAGGAGTATCATCCTAGTCACAACATAGGTGATACTAAATTCAATTGGATAAAGAAGATGTGGTACACACACACACACACACACACACACACACACACTCAATGGAATGTTACTCAGCCATAAAAAAGAATGAAATCTTGCCATTTGCAATGACATGGATGGAGCTAGAGAGTATTATGCTAAGCAAAATAAGACAGAGAAAGACAAATATTATTTCACTCGGATGTGGAATTTAAGAAAGAAAACAACTGAACATAGGGGGAAAAAAGGGGAGGCAAAGCAAGAAACAGACTCCTAACTATAGAGAACAAACTGATGGTTATCAGAGGTAAGCAATGTTCTAAGAGGTGAGGTGTGGATGGGGGGATGGGTTTGACAGGTGATGGGGATTAAGGAGGGCACCTGTGATGAGCACCAGGTGTTGTATGTAAGTGTTGAATCACTAAATTCTAAATTTGATACTAATATTACACTGTATGTTAACTAACTGGAATTTAAATGAAAATGTAAAAAAAAATTCACTTGGAAATTCTACTTTTATGATCTTTCCCAGTTAAAAACCACAAGTTGATTTCATGATTGTCTCTTGACTAGAACTGAAAGCAAAGTGAGCACCAATCAGCGTGCCAACTTCATCAATAATAAGAAAATGTAATGAGCTGATTAGGGAGGTGGCAAAACTTGATTGCATGATCAGATTCAGTAAGCCCAGTGACTTCTCATTTTGGCAAAGGCACTGTTGTTGCTCTTTCAAGCACTTAAGAACAGGATCAGTGTTACATAAAGGTTTTCAACCCAAACAAAGGGTGGTTTAATTGCTTCAGGAAAAGAACCAGTAAGTATTAACACCAGAATTCAAGAGAAGGGTATAAGTGCTAATATTGGGTCCCAAAAATTACATAGCAGAACTAACATAAGTCATCCATAAAACAAGTGATGGCCTAAATACAGTTCTTTGGTAGAGTTCATGTACCAAGCAGTGTCATTACTGTTTCCTTTATCAGTGGCAGCTATAAAACACCACTTCTGGTCAATTATAACAACATGTATTCTCATAATAAGGGGGCTAAAAAGTGGAAATAGGTTGGAAGAGAAAATGGAAAACAAGATTATGAGTCCTCAATGTTTTCTCAGTTCTAAGAAACCACTTTCAAAATCATTCCCACACCTGACAACTACCTTCAAAATCATTCCTATATCCACTCTTGGGCTCTGAAATATCCAATCGTTTGAATACTCCACTCATCTCTCCTTTTTTTCCTTCAATCCTAGGTTTCTGATTTCCAGCTATCTTTCAGAATTTTCACTTATGAGCTACAACATCACCAGAAAGGAAGCAAGGAAAAGAAGTGAAAGTTTCACAAGTAACTCAGCATAAATCAAAATTAATCATGTCATTTGAAATAACCTTGCTTTCCTGTAGAACAAATCTAACCAATGTTCTCAGTAATAACCTATCTTTTTGCTAAAATAACATGAACAAATAAGAACTGGTAAATCTCACCTGATGCTTCATATAATGATGCATGTAGGGTGTTGCAATTTTAATAACTTTGAGGCAAAATGGACATAGCAAGTTCTTAGTGTTTTCATGGGATGTTCTAAAATGAGTTTCCACATCAGCAAATGATGATGATCTATAATTGCAAACCTACAAATAAAGAAGGTTTAGTTTAACTTGAAAATGTATAATGATATGCAAAATATCAATTACAAAGTAACAATGATAGGTCATTTGTTTAGAAGAACATAAGGTGCTATTAGAATCCCATTAATACAAGCAGTGAAAGATAATCTTTGAGAGAGAAAAGTTATCTTTCAAAGTTTAGGGATAGCTCCCAAAACATAACTAGATTCCCTTATTTTTATCAGCTCTTTTTAATTATCATTCCCATCTTGACTTGAATTTTCAAGCTTTAACACCTCCTGTCCTACAAAGTTTTTTTCTGCTACATAAAACAGCACTTTCCTTTAGATTATACATGGCTTCCAGGCTATGACATTGGCAATATATTTTTATCTTCTTTTTCTATTTCTTTAAATTCTGAAAAATTACTAATCCCAAAGCATTTGGTAGAGTTCTCTGTAAGTAGAAGCATTTCATATTTCCCTTGTATGCCTACATTCTTCCCTATATAGTAAGCTAAGTCTCTACATTTGTCTGTTAGCCACTGGGCTTTTCTTTGTCCAATCGGGAGTGGGTAAAAATGGCCTGTGGGCCAATTTCAACTCTCTACTGATCCCCACATACAATGCATAAGTTATACCAAAGGTTTTTAAATTAATAAATAGTTTACAAAAGGAATTTTAATTTTAGTAACCAATTTTATTTCATGACCCATAAAAATTATATGAAATTCAGATTCCAGTGTCTATAGATAAAGTTTAAATAAACACAGCCAGATCACATTCATTTACTTATTGTCTGTGGCTGCCTTTGTGCTACAATGACAGAGTTGATTAGTTACAACAGAGATTATATAACCCTGAAAGCCTGAATATTTATTACCTGGTGCTTTACAAAAAAAAAATTTGCTGACCCCTGGCCCAAGAGGTTTAAATCTTATAATCAAAACAATAGAAAACAAACAAACCAAACACTAAGTACACAATAAAATATATGTATACCTGACAAATATATGGCATTTCACCGGGCTTATGATTGTCCTTCATATGTTGTAAAAGAATATGCTCTGTTTCAAATGATAATTCACAGATTTTGCAAATGGCTAAAAGTGGGGGGGAAAAGACATTACACCATTTTAAGATGCACACACACACAGACAAACAGCAAATCATTATTTTGTATAACTGAAACTCTATGTCAATTATACCTCAGAAAAAAGTATCGTTACCAGGCAAACACAAATATATATGAATAAAATTCATTTTATATATCTATATCAATAATAACAATAGTATTGGTGGTAGTGACAGACAGCAGCTATATAGTTTTTATTGGTGTGCCAAACACAGTTCTAAGTACTTTACTTACATTAGCTCATATAATTCTCAAGACAGCATTATGAAACAGGTATTTCTATTATTCTCATTATTCAAATACTAAGTTGCCTAACATCACATAGTTGTATTAAAAGGCAGACCTGGGATTTGAACTCAAGCTATCTAGCTCCGAGATCTGTGACTTTAACTATGACTGTAGTTGTTTTTTTCATTATTTTCATATTTTAAAACTATGATCTGTGGTTTTTAATTTAGTCCCCCACATATAATGCACAGGTTATTTACCTTAATGAATTATTTACAAGAGGGATTTTAATTTTAGTAACTAGTTTTAACAGTTAGAAGTTTTTCAATTTTGCCCCCAAATTCCAGAGTCTTTTTCTTAGTCTTAATTTCCTAACAAGCTTCTTAAGTTTTGTCAGAGTTACACTGTCAAAATTGATAATATCCAATACTGTAACTTACTAGAAAATTCATGAGGTGTATGCGTGCTTTCAATGTGACACTGCAGTTGAAATGGTGTGGGAAACTGACGGTAGCAATGCTGGCAGGTGGTGTGGTTTTCCCAGCTCTCACTGCTCTGCTTCTCAAGTTCCAAGTGGTGTTTCATGTGGTTCATAAACCTATAAATGATTGTCAACAGGTGCAAAAATTCAGATTTAAAAACACAAATGTAAAAAATAAGTATCTGAATCTAAATCTTAAAAATACAAATACATTACTCAAAAAAAATCTCAAAAGCCTTAAAGTCTTCTAGAAAACTGTGTATTTTAAATAATCACTTTCATTAAGTGTCTATTAAACATCTTTTCATCTTTGTTTTAAAAGAATTCATCAATGTAATTAATATGAAATTTCAATAATTTGCTCTAATTCTTAATCATTTCAGATTAAAATGTTTTTTTAAAGATAAAAAAAGCAGTCTTTTTTTCCATACACAAATACTATTTACATTTTTAAATAAAATTTATTTACTTGAAAGGAAGGAAATAAAATACTTGAAAGGAAGGAAACCCTACCACCAAAAGCAGCTATAGTCATGAGAGAAATCTTTTAAGGTTGTGAAGATATACAATAGATTCCAACTGTTTAAAAGACAAATTACTGGTATTTTTACTTGTGTCTTGGTTTCTAAATGCATGTAATAGCAATTTTAATGCCTACAATTACGAGAACCTTTTGTTTTATTTAATGATACCGGTTTACTGTTAGCACAGACCGTTCATTTTAACTTGCAGACTGTGCCCTTTGTAGGAAACGTCCATTTTTCAGTTTTACATTCTGCTATTTCAGCTTCCCTAAAAGGCTTCTTATGAGCAGGAACTATGACCTTCAACAGCAAAGAGTGCAATAAAACTGGGAACACCTATTTAAAAGAGCTTACTGAAGCTTTTTACTGAATTTGAAAGTAAAGTTATAACAATTTTTAGTCTGGGTCAACTATTAACAATTACTCACTTTGAACCTGTAAAGAATCTAGAAAGTAAATGATAATGTTATTAATCTGGATAGCAGTCACCATGAAGGCTATAACGCTTCTCTTTTTCACACCTCCACAATACTACTCTTAAACAGGTTATGGCACACTCTGAAGTATCTTTTTGTCCTCCTTTGGTTTTAACACCAGATCTACAAACACCTATAGAAAATCCTAGTCTTGGAATATTTATATAGAGAGATATGGTCATAAGCCATTAAATTTTCACCTCACAACTTTAAGCAATTCAAGCGTATCTATATAAAATAATCTTTTAACTATCAAGCTTTCTCTCAATTATTATATAAGCCCCCATCAGGAACTCATGCTCTCAAACCAAACTATGGAAATGAGGGAAACAAACAAACAAACTTCTTGCAAGATGGTCACAGAATAAAATAAACCTAACCGTTTTTGGTGACATTCAATGTAGGAAACAAAAGAAAAATACCACACCACAGTATGTTGATGAGGCAGAGAAAAAAAATCTATAGCTATCAATTTCTTACCGTTCTCTACAAACATCAATTTGTCTTCCCAATTTTTACTGTTAAAATATTATTTAACACCTCTAACTCCTTTGGTTATGAAGTATTTACCATTAAGGTTACATTTACTCAACAATTAGTATTTTAAAAAATGCTCAATTCCTGGATGTTATAAGTGCTGTTTGCTTAAAATTTCTAAATAATCTGGTACTCTAAAATGTATAACTACTCTACTGAAAAAAATAATAAAAAAAGGAATTGTTAATTTTCGTATGTTTAATATTAAGTGGGCTAATCTCAAAGGAAAGGCAAAAGCTGTTGCTGAAATAACTTAATATCATATATGTAATATTTAAGTATAACAAGGAACTAAGTCAGTGAAACACATTTGTATGCATGCACCACATTTATTAACATGATTTTTCTGGTGTATTTTACTATTAAAGGGGTAATAATATGGAAATCGGTGACAGAATTATACTGCAGTATTGTTTCAATGTTATATCAAAAAGTACAATATCTCACGGCCCCTGGGTGGCTCCGTCAGTTAAGCAACTGACTTCAGCTCAGGTCATGATATCACAGTTCGTGGGTTCCAGCCCCGCGTCAGGCTCTGTGCTGACAGCTCAGAGCCTGGAGCCTGCTTCAGATTCTGTGTTCCCTCTCTCTCTCTGCCCCTCCCCCTCCTCATGCTCTGTCTCTCGGCTCTCAAAAATAAACAAACATTAAAAAAAAATTTTTTTTTAAATACAATATCCCTTCTGTTAAACTACTAGGACCATTAACTATTGATGGCTGTTAAAGTTTAATAAAAGGAGATAAAGAAAAGTGAAAACTCATATGAAATAACATACATGAAAGAATTTGGAAACTATAAAACACCACCATAAACAAAGCTTTAATAACTGTTATAGGAGTATATCACAAAGTATTTCAGGGTTTTTCTATATCCTTCTTTTTGACCTAAGAACTCACAGGAAAATGAAATAAATACTAGGTCCAGAAGTAACCTATTGGTACCTAAGAATGCTATTTACAAATAATAGTTATCAAGGGTAAACATAAAAAGGCATACATAGGTATGCTTGTATAAACACACACACACCAGTGATGTCTGCAACTTACTTGGAAATGTGTGAGAAAAAAAATAGTTTGATATATGATATCAAATAGATGTATGATAAAATACAGTAAAATGTTAATGGTAGAATCAAGGTGGTAAGTATACAAATATCTGCAGTAAAATTTTTAAAACTTTGTTGAATGTCTGAAAATGTTTGTAATAAAATGAAGAAACAACCTTACCTAATATAAATGTCAAGCTACATAACCAATGAAAATACCAATCAATATTTCTTGTTACTTTGTTCTTGTTATGTACTCATTAATAGGATGACAACTACTAATATGCCATGTAACACAAAGATTACAAAGTAAAGGTCATAAAATTTAAAGCATACAGGTATAAATCTTCAAAATTACACTGGAAATTAAATTTGTAATTTTTGAAGAGGTTAAATTTTGAAATCAAAGCCAACATGTTTCCTAGAACTGGTATTTCTCTAAAGAAGATCACTTTTCCTGCAAGGTAAATGTTCCAAAAATTACAAATATGAATCGAAAGATCTGAGCATTAAATAAGATGAATAGGAAGAGGTCAAACTAGACAAAACATACTGAAGTGGTACTTCTTGTAAAGTGAAGAAAAATAAAATTCAAAAGCAGCTAAGAATGAAAATAATCTCATGAAAATTCCTAAAACCCTGATAATATAAGGGAAATGTTAATTTTCCCTTATTTGAAATAAAGTTTGTCCTTTCTTAAGTTATCTTAAAGAGATACAACTAAGTGGATCCAGGAGTCAACTCTGAATTATAAGAAAGAACAAGTTTTTCAACAGGACAATCTGCCTTTGTTCTTAGTAGAAAGTATTAAAATTACTTATCTAGAATGGCACAGAGAAATACAAGATAAAGATACAACATTTGTATCTTTAGCACTCCAATTTTCAAACACAAATAAAAATAAGTATTTACATACCTAATATTATTTTTAAGAATTTTCAAGCAACTGAAGCATTTAAAGGTTGTGTGAGTCTTCTGTTCTTCCTGAATATCTCCTTCATGTTTTCCATAATAAAAGTCATTAACTAACATGATCAATTTTCCTTTCTCTGAATCAACAGTCTTGTTTTTATTTGCTGTACTTGAAAATTCTGTTTTAGCCAGTCCTAAAAAGTTATTTATCATGTCTGGACAACAGTACTGAAAGAGAAAAAACATAAGTCTTATTTAACACTTAAAAAAGATTGGACATCAAAAAACAACTGTATGTTTACAACAAGGCCAGACCATGTTAAAACTATGCTTGGTAAATATCTGGGAAAATATTCACCAAAAGTTTGTGGTACATACTCACATTCTAATAACAATAAATACCTATTATCTTAATAAACAACAACAAAAAATTTTTAAAGAAAAACTTTAAAATGAGAACTTGGCTACTGACATAATAATTTTTTTCCTTACAATTTATCTTTTTGGATATAAATATTGAATAATAACTTAAATGCTTAATTGAAACTAAAACTTATTCAGGGCGCCTGGTTGGCTGAGTGTCTGACTTTTGATTCAGCTCAGGTCACGATCTCAGAGTTGTGGGATTGAGCCCCACTTCAGGATCCATGCTGGACATGCAGTATGCTTAAGATTCATTCTCTCTCTCTCTCTCTCCCGCCCTCTGACACTCTCCCTCAACCAGTGCACATTCGCCCACTCTTAAATAAGTAAATTAAATAAATAAATAAACAAACAAACAAACCTTATTCATTTCACATTCATGTCAAGATAGAGCATAGAAAGGAAATGTAGGTTATATGCCATAATGTAGATGTTTCATTATCAAGTGATATATGAAATTTCATAATATCTAGTTAGAACTAAAAATTGAGTACAACTAATTTGCCATTGCCCAGACTCAAGATACTAGAAAATGTATGAGTTAAAAAAAAAGCAGCAGTAGTAACACCCTGAAATCTAGAATGCTTAAATTTTTGAAGGGGAAATTTAGTGCCTCATGAGTAAACTCAAGATGTCACATAAACTGGTTCTAAAGTGGAATACTTTCATACAAGAGCTTTTTTTTTACCCAACAAGATTTAACTAATTCATTTATTGTACATCATTTTCAGTTGTAGAATTTCTCCAGGGCAGTTTTTCTCAAAGGTCAGTCCAAAGAAGACCTACATTAAAAAAACCAGGAGTACTTGTCAAAATGCTAATTCCTGGGCCTACTTCAGATCCATAAACCACAATGTCTAGATACAGGGCCCAGAAATCCTTATTTTTCAACTAGCCACCCAGGTAATTCATTTATAATATAAACCAGCTGACTTAAACTCTTCGTAAATGTGTTACTTAGTAAATTAATAACAACATTAAAAAGTTTGAAACTCTAAACACAACTCTATTCCATTTCTAAGGTAACATCCATCTCTTCTTCTGCCACATCGAAATGTTAAATCACTGGTAAAATGTTCTGAATCACATGAGAAGCTGTTCCAAAACAGGCCTATAACATTTCCTTCAATTGCATTTATGCTTTTCATCTATCAGTTCTGAAACCTTTAAGAAAAAAAAACACCAAGAAAAAAATATAAAATAGATCTATTTTAGATCTAAAAGAAAGGGGAAAAAATACTGAATAAAATGGGCCCCAAAACAATGACATAACTTGTGATTTAGGAGTTAAGGTTGCATCCATAAGCGAATTTAGGACAAATACATTAGGTCCTTAATACTACATGATCCTCTGTAGTCAACCACTCAGAATAAATACAGTTGAAATGAAACCACAATGAAAAGAGGGAAATGAGAAGGGTTTTCTCTATATGTTTTTAGATATTCTTTATGACACACATAATACTTAAGAGCTGAACACTAGGTAAGTCAGGCTATTTCTAAGGACTTTTATAGGGCTCAGTTCCTTCTAAAACAGGCTGGTTTTGAATTTAAGGATAAATGGAGAAAAGGATAGTTCAGAGTAAATCCAACAGCATTATCAGAAAAAAACTCAAAATACATATCTTATTACAAGTGATGTGTACCATAGTATCATTTTGATAGATAGAACCGTTGACCTTAACTGCAATTTTACCATTGGAGTGATCTCAAACAATGGGAAAAATTATAATGCACAAAAATGATATATATGGAATAGTGTCCCTAATTAGAAATGTGGACAATCACATATATTCAAACAACAAACCTGGTTTTCAGACTGTAGGAGCTCTTGAGTCATATTTGAGATTCAATACTTTCCTGAAATCTACAAAATAAGTAGTCTATAGTAGAGTGTGTTACAAGGTTATATTTTTCAGAAACATCTAATTTGGTACACCCATAAGAGGTAAAGTTACCTTAATTACTCATAAATTACAATATACATAATAGATGATCAACCGCTTTCTGTGCCTCCATTTTTTCTTTTAAATAAAACAGGATCCGATTTTAAAAATAAATATTAAGTCTCAAAGTGTCTTTATTTTTTAGTATAGTTGTCATACAATGCTACATTAGTTTCATTCACAGTATCTTTTTTGTTTTCATTCACAGTATATTTTAAGCAATGTTTCAGATCCCTGTAAGACAGATGAGGAATAAATCACTGAAAACCAAGAATGGACAACCGAGTTCAGAAAATTTAGTAACTGAGAGAAAAGCACAGAATCCCACAGAAAATATCCAGAAGTCAAAAGGCAAGAAAGCAACTTAAATGAGAATTAGGCTTAGAAGGAAGGTTTTACAGGAGGATAGAAAAAGCTATGGGATGGTATGGCTGAGGTATGGTCTAAGATCACCTGGTCATCTTTTATTCAGTCTAAAACCCTTTTGGTTCTAGCCCTTCACTGTAGCTCTAGGTTATCCCTTATTGTCTTCGGTTAGCCATTCGAAAGTATTAAACTTTAATGCCATACACTGTAATTTTAAACAGTAGATACCATCTTAGCACCATTATCATCTTCAGTCCTCCCAGTAGATGGCCATGTGCTAGTGCTTTGTTAGTACCTAAATATTTAGGTAAGATTTTCAGAACAAAGGAGAGATGCTATTTTTAAATACTAAAATACAGAGGTGCCTGGGTGGCTCAGTTGGTTGAACGTCTGTCTTCGGGTTCAGGTGATGATCTCACAGTTTGTGAGTTCAAGCCCCCCATAGGGTTCTGTGCTAATAGCTCAGAGCCTGGAGCCTGCTTCTGATTCTCTGTCTCCCTCTCTCTCTGCCCCTCCCCTGCTCACACTCTGTCTCTCTCTGTCTCTAAGAAGTGAATTAACACTAAAAAAATATTTTAAATAAAAAAATAAATAGTAAATTAGAAGTTCCCATTTGATCAGCCTACATAAGTCAACATTTCCCCCTTTTCCTAGGACTCATCCAAAGCCACAACAACCAAATTCTAAAAATTTCACTTTCATTGAAACTAAGAACCACATAAAATCCACAGACTCTACAACATATGACAGTACTACCCAAAGCAGCCAAGATCAGACAGAAGACATGCAGGTGGAAGTAGAACAGAGAAGTCAAAAGGACCCAATAGTAACAGATCTTAGAAAGTGTCAGCAAAAATTTGCTAAAGATGAAAAACACACCCTGAAGTGCAAAGCTATATCCTTTCTTCGCAAAAACAGGTGCAGATGCTGGGGCAAGTAGGATGACAGAAGTCCCTCAGACTTCATTTGGTACAGAGAAGTAGACAAGGCAATGCTATAAAGTCAGACACACAAGTCACATTTGCAGGAAACCTTCTGCCCAGCAAAGAGTTATTATATAAACCAGCTAATAGAATGTGAGATTATTAGGCAACCTTGGCTGCCCTAAAGGAGCTTTGTACAAAAGAGCTAGCCCAAGAAAATCCAACTTATTCTTCACTATGATAGAAACTTACATCTGAACAAAAATACTTTAGGATAAAAGAAGGAAAACGTAAAATTCAGACAAAAATGCCATGGAGCAGATGCAGATGAAAACAGTGACCAAAATTTTTGTTGCAAATTTTAAAACCTTAATGACACAACTGTGTCTATTTGGAAGACCATAAAGCAAGAAGAGACGGCAAGACCAAAAAGACATTAAAAAGAGTAACAAAACTGAGGGAAAAGTAAGGAAATAAAAATCAGAGAGATAAAGACAAATTAGACAACAGTGGTGAACAGGCATTGGAAAATAAAATGAAGGACTCAGAGGTTAATAATAAGAAGAGCAAATAAAAAAAAATTAAGTGTTAAAAGAAGAAAATATTTATGCCAGACAAAGGACATCAAATGAATGTATATTGGACAACATTCTCCTCTCCCCTTCAAAAGGCAAAATAATTACATGGAATAAATATTTTTAAATATTAATCAAGAAAATTACACTAAAATAAATTCTCAAATCCCAACACTAAGTCATGTCATTATAAAATTATCAGTCTTCCAAAATAAAGAAATTCTATGGACTGCATGCAAAAAGGTCAAATCACTTACAAAGGGCAAAATAATTCAGGCTTATCCCAGATTTCTCAACAGCAACATTCCATATTGTAAAACAGGAGCACCACAAACAAGATCCTCAAAGTAGGATCCAACTTACTTTATATCTGGACAAACTGTCCTTTTGAGAATGGATAATCGAACTGTTTTGAATATGAAAGACATCAAAAAATGCTGTTCCCAGGCCATGTTTGAGGAAATTACTAGAGGATGAACTTCAGCCCAACAGATAACTAAAAACCATGACAAACAGACTGGTAATCAACATATTTACTGTGAAAAAAGATTAAAACAAATATAGAAATAAGGTTAACAAAGTCAAATGCAAATGTTATATGCCCTGGCAATGAAAACATTATACAACCAACAAATAAAAACTGGGAGGGGGTAAAAGGACAGTAAGCATAAGTAAGCTTGAGAAAGGTCATAGACTGCCTCACATATAATAGCAGTACACCAAAGAATATCATTTAGAGCTACCAAACGAAGTAGTATATGTATGAGCAGTTTTAATAGTACAAAGATAAATACTCAGAAAAATAATAATGGCTAAAATCAGGCAGGAGAGGAGAAGGTAACAACGAGTGGGTTAAGAATACTTTAACCAACTCTAATTTTACAGAATGGCAAAATGAATATAAGACTACTAGAATTATATCAGCATTCCCTAAAAACTGAAGCTACATACATATGAAGCAATCACATGGTGAAAGACTTTTAAAAAAAGATAAT